ACCACAGAATGGGTTCAGGGACCTATGTGAGATGGATCTGAGCTAAAACTCTGTTGATCACCTGACCTCCACAAGCCCCTCCTCTGACTGATGAAGCACAGTGACTTTTTGGATCTCCTGAAATCAGTGTCAGTTCAGAGCTGGTGTCCAGAAGTCCCCCAAAGTTCTGATTATTTCCTTTTCCCCAGTGTGGTTACTTTGGTAAAAGGCGATAGATCCCTTTGGGAAATAGTGGGAGAAGGATTAACAGTATAATCCTTGAGCGGACTCTGCCTTCCTTTTTCCCAAGAGGTACTGGGTCTGTAACCTGGCTTGAGTCTTGGAATTGACTGTGACTCTGTTTTTATGATTCAGGTTAGATTTTTGTTCATTTGACCTGGAACTTTTCTACTTATACATCAAGTAAGAATTTCGTAGGCTTTCTGTCTATTTCACTACTAGCAACACCATGATCAGCTGGCCGTTGTCAAGGGTCTGTGCAGGTCAGACTATTATGATTGCTGCTTTGACTCTGCTGTCCATAATAGTAACCACGCCCAGCTCGCTTTTGGTGGTTGAGTGCTGTCACTTGGCTGCTGCCACCCCGGAATCCAATTATTCTTATTGCATTTATGTTTCTCAGTTCAGTGACTTCACTTCCCACTGTAAGGTCTGACATAAGAGAAGAGCCATCACAGAGCTCTTCAAAGATGCCAGCATTCTCACAAATTTATTTCTCATAGTAGTGGTGAAAGGTATGTCTTCTGGTTCCTCTCATTGTGGGTGAGTAGATCTTCAATGGCAAATCCACTCTAACATTCCTGTCTTCCTAAACCTTTGCATCCCTTCCTCTTTGTTAAACCAAAGCAGGTGTGGCATTTGTAATTCACTCACTGTGGGCCACCTTTTGGTCTGTGTTTCAGCCAATCAATCAAACAAACTGTTAGAACCCTTCCTACTACTTAAGCTACAACATTAAATCTCTGCCTAGTGAACCTGTATCAGTAAATATGACCTGATCGTTCCTCCTGCCATTATCCTACACCCTTAATATCCATTCCCACACATATTCTCTGGATTTATGTCTGTATGAATTAGAAAACCCAAGTAGTTCTTTGGAGTGTTGTATATCTCCTCATGAGTCATACTTTGTACCTCACCTTTAAGGGAAAGTATAGAAGCAAAGAGGAGTTTGGGGGGTGGGTCCTGAGAAGAATGAGCTTTGTCTTGCATGGCAACGCCATTGTGGAAGGCCATTACAGTGTCCTCAGGCAAGGCAGGTTAATTCCCTCAGAGGGTAGAGAAACCACTTCCACTGAGGGTGGGTAGGTTTCTTTCACTGGCAAAGAAGACATCAGAATTTAGAGGCTCATCGTCCCCAGCTTCATTAGGGTTCTCCCACATGTCACCATTTCAACTTACAGCATCTCATTTTTTCCCAATCAAATGCCCTCACTTTAACAGTAGATACCTGCAGGGCTGGTAGTTCTACTTGCATTATAATTCAAGATGAGCTTCTCTGTTTGATTTTCAGCAATCTCAGCCCTTTGGCTACAAGAGATAAAGGTCTCCTTCAGAGCACATAGAAACTTTCACTTACTTTATGCTCTGCTTATTCGGCTGCCCTTTTCTTTCACCACTTTGTCCAGTGACATTAGGAGCAACCAGCTAATCTCGTTATGTTTGTTAGTTTTCCAAGTGTTGGGAAGTATCATATACATAATTACCCAGCTCCTTACTTCTTATAAGTGGTTAATTAGGATTTCCAATGGAAGTATTGTGCGTATCTCTATTGCCAGATCACACCATGGACTCTCAGTGCTCTCTTTACTACTGGAAATCAAGTCATTAACATCTTTAAATCCAATCAGATCAGAGAGTCAATTCTAGAAACTCCAGAACCAACTCAGAAAACTCATTCTTAACATTCTGTTCCTCTAGAACCACTCTTGGTACCAAAGTCTGTATTAGTCCCAAGATCTACTGGTGGCAAGTAGGAGACCCAGAAGAGTTGATGGTGTATTTCTAGTCTGAGTCAGAAGGTCTGAGAACTAGGAGAGCCGATGGTATAAGTTCCAGTCTGAGTCTGAGTCTGAAGGCAGAAGATTGACATCCTAGCTTGAAGACAGTCATACAGAGAGTGGGAATTCTGTCGAGTGTCAGCCTTTTTGTTCTATTCAGTCCTTCAGTGGATCCAAAGAGGTTCATCCATATTGGGGTGGGGAATGCAATCTGCTTTACTCAGTCTACAGATTCACATGTTAATCTCATCCAGAAAAACCTTCACAGACACAATCAGAATAACATTTAACCAAATATTTGGGCACCCCATGGCCCAGGTAAGTTGACACATAAAATGAATCATCACACCATTCATCTGTCTGCAGACACTTGGGTTGCTTCCACCTTTTGGCTATTATAATTCTTCTGCTATGAACATGAGTGTACAAATATTTGTTTGAGTCTCTGTTTTCAATTCTTTTTAGGTATCAAATGGTATTTTTATCTAGTTATTGCGTATGCTTAGTTGAAGTTTAGAATTCCAGTTGCTGAATCACTTTAATCACCAGAGGCATGTTTTAGAAAAAACAGTTTTGTCACATCTGATGCATATTTAGTTTGTATGGATTCAGTTGTACTGTATTTTATAGGTGATTGAGTGGATTTTCAATGGAAATGTTTTATGATACTTGATTTTTGCCTAATCCACTGCCTTTGGAACCCAATCTTTGTGTACATTGCAGCTATACAGTATTGCTTTTCTTTTACAAAGCAGAAAAAATAATTTCTGACAGTTCCTTTCTACATGTCTTCTCAATGCTAATGAAATAAAAAAAAATCTGTGTCTCGTTCTCTAGTTGACAGAGGAGAAGTTTGAGGAATGTCTATTTGTTTAGTTTTCATTTTGTGACTCAAAGGAAGATTGTGAACAAAGCAAACACATTTCTGTATTCATAACTTTATTCTTTAAAAGGTAATGAAGAGGAAGGCAGAATATTTTAGGGTTGATATAGCACATAGAATAAATATGATGATCTTGAAAGAGCACTGAGGTATTGGGAAGTATGTTGATTTTATTAATCCCACTTTACTATTAAGGTATAATTTTGGTCAAGCCAGTTTAGCTCTCTGAGTTCATTTCCTTGTCTAAAAGATAGTGAAGATGATAATACATGCTGCTATTTTATAGGGTTGTGATGATAAAATGAGATAAAGTATGTGGAATCTTTAAAATGGTATATAGATGTTAGATGGCAATTTATGATCTGAGCTGATAGAAAGAGAAAATCGCTATTAGACTTAATCCATCTGCTTATATATTGGATGGTTTCTGTGTGTCTGATTAAAAGGTTTCTAAGTTTTGAACTGTGGAAGATGACTGTGAAGTGAAATTTGATTTTGCCCAGGACCTTCAATTCACTGGAAGGAGAGAAGTGAGAATCTTGTAGCCTCTCTAAGCCAATTTTTTTTTTTTTAAGATTGGCACCTGAGCTAACAACTGTTGCCAATCTTTTTTTTTCCTTTCTGCTTCTTCTCCCCAAATCCCCCCAGTACATAGTTGTACATTTTAGTTGTGGGTCCCTCTAGTTGTGGTATGTGGGATGCCACCTCAGCGTGGCCTGATGAGTGGTGTCATGTCCACGCCCAGGATCTGAACCAGTGAAACCCTGGGCCGCCATAGCAGAGCGCACGAACTTAACCACTTGGCCACGGGGCTGGCCCCCTAAGCCAATTTTCGATATTAAAAAGTCTTCTAGTTTACTCTGTTTTGCAAAGACTTACATGGTATTCAGCACTTTACTAATGAATCAGAAATTTGTCTGTATAGTTCCCTTTTTTAGCCTAGTATGCATATTATGTGACAGTTCCATTTTACTAGAGAATTTGGAAACATTTTTTGTTTGCGTGTTGAAGATGATATTTTTTGTGAGTTGAGGTTTATTTAATATAGCAGTTTGAAAAGTACTAAACAATGATGTTTTTACAAGTTTTTTGATGGTTTATCTTTGTGTCTTACAGAGAGATACTAGAGACTGGAGGTAGACAAACTACTTTTTTCTCTAGCATATTTTGATCCATACACATGGATTTGTTATATCTCTAAGTGAGAGACAGAAGTAAAGTGTTATTTCGGAGATACTTCTTTTGTAGAAAAAGGGACTGGTTTTCTTTATACATATCCTCAGAGCTTTTTCTCTTTAGGAACTTGAGTTAGAATGAAAAATCTTAAAAGCTTGAACTTTTAAAAAAAAATCTGTTTGGAACTGAATAAATTTGAAGGTTTTCTTTTTATTTTTCTGAGTTTTGATAAGACTCCATGATGACAAATAGTGAGAATTTTTGCCTCATCTCATAAGACAGACACTGTCTGTACTATCTTACAACTTTTCTATAAATCTAAAATGATTGTAAAATAACATGTTTATTAAAAAAAACCTTGTTGCCAAACTTTTTTGATTATATAGAATAAATGATGTGGAGAATAAAAACTGCCTGTGTTATTAACCAGTTTTCTCCAGTTAGCATGTTTTATTTTAATATTGTAATTTACCTCTAAAAATGGAATAATATGCATTACCGCTACTTGATTTATATGTTCTCTATTGATAAACAGTAGTTTCATTTATATATAAGATTTAGTGATCTTTTAAAAGTCAAATTAATATCTGAAACTTTTAAAACTATGGGAAGAGGTTAATAAGGTATAAATTAATAGCTGTGTATTTTGAGGGGAAGAAGTTAATAATTTACCACAGTGGTACACAGGATCTGAGTTATGCTTGTTTTGAGAACTAGGATTTTGAAAGTGTTTACGTTGATGTCGTACTTCATCATAATATAGCACTTTGGGAGCTTAAAATTTTAATAGCGTTATCAGTTAAGGTAATGTTAGCAAATTTAAGTTAACACATAAAAAGTAATTAATAAAAGAAAAGAATACTTAAAATAATTTAAAATATGATCTTTGTTATTAGCTATTAAAATGAATCTAAGTAAATTTCATATCATTTCTTTTCTAGATTTATTATCTAGGATAGATTTGGATGAACTAATGAAAAAGGATGAACCACCTCTTGATTTTCCTGATACCCTGGAAGGATTTGAATATGCTTTTAATGAAAGTAAGTGGTGTATACTATGTGCAAGATTTGTTTAACAATGCTAAAAGAATCATTGGACAGATATTATTTGCTAGCTAGAATGTTTTATGTATTTCTTTTGAGAAATAATGACTTATCCTTTCATGGTGAAATTTTTCATTCAAGTAAAAGAACCAAGTTATAATTTCCCATAGTTGTCAAGTCACTTAAATTGATGCACTTGAATTTGATTTGGCTTCTGTATTTCAGCCTTGAGTGTTCAACTCCCTGGTATCCGATTGGAACTCCCAGTTAAATTATATAGAAAGAATGCTACTCTTTCACATGTTATTTAAAATGAAATGACTGGCAATAATTATCTGTGACACTATTTTAAAGCATAATACTCAGTTTTCCATGATATTTTCAGGCAACATCCTTACTTTAAAATTTATTAAGTTCTGAATGAAAGAAACTTTACCCTTGGGATTTGGAAGAACATACCACAGATTGCAAGGGTGTTCCTAGAACAAAGAATTATGATTCATTGGATTAACAACACACTATTATACTTGAAGGGTAATGTTATTACAGGCTAGGTAGCATTTGAGTTGTAGCTTTCTGTGTGTTGCTCTGCATTAACTAAATTGGTGATCTGTCATCGTTGTGTTGGTGGATATCCCTTTACAATATCAGTTATAGGTTTTAGGATTTAGAGTGACAGTCTCTGTGTGCTAGAATATTAAGTGAATTTAAACAGAAGATATTAGAGACTTTGATATCTTTTCTGATACTAATTTTCATGCTTTTTTTATAAAGCATATTTTATGCCAAAACATGTATGAATGGTAATATTTTGTTTTTGAAAACTGTTTTATATTTTAATTAACAGAATCAAATGGGTACCGAGACTAACATTGCCTCTGTTCTTTTGAAGTGATTACTAGATTCTTCTTTCAGAATAGGGATGGGGGGAGTGTGTTGATAGTGTGGGTACATCATAGACTGTATTTGCTATATGGATGTAGGACATCAGTTTTCACTGAAGTCTATCTTTCATCTTCCTTGAACATTTCTTAAAGTGAGGAAAACACAAAGAAGCAATACACTTTTATCTCTCTCTCTTTTTTTTACCCGTTCCAGTAATTTAATTTCAGGTTTAAATTGCATATTTCAAATTGCAGTTTTTCTCTTCAACTATTTTTTTTTTGCGGTAACAGTGGATTATAACATTATATGGCTTTCAGATGTACATCGTAATATCTCTCTTATCAGATACATTCACACACATACATCTTTGCACACATTTGTACACCCTTGCGTGCACATACTGTGCATTCATACACTTTTGTACACACCTACACCTTTGCACACACATATGCCCTTTCATGTAATACATCTTGGATGCACGTGCACCCTTGCACACACCTACTATTTATTTTTAGGTATCCTAGACATTGTCTTGCGTTAGTATAGACTGACAGTGTGAGGCAAAGATGCTTACATTTCAAGGAGAGAATGTCGCTTCCAAGGATGTTATTTTTAGCGTGATACAGTTCACCTTTGACTTCACGGTTAGTGGTGAATATTTTTTCAAAGAGGTGAGGATTTGAAAACAAGAAAGTGGGACTCGATATTAAACCCCTGAAAGGGCAATTCTAACTTAGTATCTTCAGGGATTTCTTTTTCAGATTTATAATGACAAAAACTCTTATGAAAGCTTTGAAATGAAACTTTCATTACCTGATTGAAGAAGCTTCTAAATTTTTCTAAAGGATTTTAAAGTTCTTAGTTGGGTAAAAGAAGAATTTGGATACAAAGTTCACTCTAAGCAAAGAAAAATTGTAACAAAGGAGGAGAGATTCTTTTTACCTGCGTCAAACTGACCCCTTGTTCTTTCAAATCACTGTGCCTTTTCAAATACTCCTTGTGTTTAAATTGCCCGTTTAGCTATTCTCCAGTTGTAATTGTGTGAGGCCCAGCTCAAATATCCTTGCTTTGGAAGATGAAGAAGGTGAAAGATCTTCCCCTTTTCACCTCACCCACACTCCCTATGCCCTGGTGCAGTATTATGAGGAAGCACACTTTGTGTCACCAAAAATAAAATTGGGCTTGGTGGCAGACCATTTGAGTTTGAATCTTGTCCTCCATGATACCTGGTATTTACTGAACTCTTATTACATGCCACAAAGTGTCTAAATACTTTACATTTATTAATTTGTTTAGTTTGGTGATAGCCTATTTTGGGTCCTAGATTTCACCACAAATCTAATAAAATAAATGGATATGCTTCCCAGAATAACGTGCATTTGGGTACACACATGAAACTTTACAACCAATTCTAGGGGACCCTAAACTAAAGTGTCCTAAGTCTGACCTTTGACAGTTGCTGGACAGATTTCCCAAAGCTTTGAGAAAGGCCAGATTTGCAAATACAAGTATAACATAAGATCCAGATGTCTTTTCTGGATAAAAATGCTCACTTTCTTTGTCTCTTTACCCTCTTTTCACTTTTAACACCAGTGCTAATAATAGTTGGCTGTTTTGATGGGGCCCGTTTTTCCTAAAGAAGCAAAATCTGTATGACTTTATGAGAATTAGTATGTTCAAAATGAGTAGAGAATTAAAAAAAAACCAACAGAACCTCTTTGAGATGTAGATACAAGTGGTCTGTTAAACTCACTTGCTAGGTCAGTCAGTTCCCTTTCACACGGCAGTCTCACAGAAAATACATCTTATTTCAGCTGCAACAATATTACCCTTACTATATGTCATGCACCTTTAAGGTTGCTTTAGTCAAAATCATAAGTGTTAGATTTGTAGATGCCCTCAATCTACTTGTATTGGTATCTTAAGTGAGAATTTCCTTCTCCTAGAAAGAAAAACATAGATACATCTTATAATTTATGTGGCACTATCTGACCATGAACAAGTGTTATGATGATCCAGTACAGTGTCTCATGTTGAGAGTATTAAAGAACTTTACAAATAAGGATTAGCCGTTATTTTATATATTAAAAATGTCCATTTTATATGTAGTAAATTGATTCATAAAACTAGTGAAGTAGTTTTACTTGGAGTACTATATTTCCTGGATTCAGTTTCAGTGCCACAACTTTCAAGTCTTTCTCCACTCCTGCGTGCCCCCATTGGATAAAAGTCAAACACTAATTCTCTTCAGCTTGGTTGTGTCCCTCTTCTGCCCCTAAATCCTTTCTTGTGCCTCACTGCTGTTAGGACAAAGGTCAGACCAATAGTGTGGGCCTTCTACCATTTGATCCCAACGTGTCCTCCAGTGTTACATTCTCCTGTTTGGCTCAGTACTCTTTATTTCTGTTAAACTGAGTTGTTCACTGTTATTTGAATTTGCTGTCCATTTTTCACAGTTTTATTTATATTGCTTGGGTGGGGTGGAGTTTAAAGCAATTGGCCTGTGCTCTCTCTCTCTCCTGATTACAAGGAATATACTCCTGAGGAAAAAAAGAAGACAGGTGGCCTGGTCTTTTCTCCTTGTAAACATGCTGATAATTTAATCTTTTAGTGAATACAGACTAATGTTTACTATGAGGAGAATACTTTGAGCAGGGTGACTGCTTTGGCAATGCCTATGGTAAACAAGCATATAATCTGTGGATTTGTGAGGTGTGTTTCTCTGAAGAATATCACATAAGCAGTACCACTCTCTGGCACATAAAATGGAAGTGTTTTATAACCAAAATGCTTGCCAATGTGTGAGGTAACCTATATGCCTCACTTAGAGACCTCACCTACTCTGGAGTGGACACTGCTATCCAGTGAGAGGAAAGGACCTGGGAAGAAATATCCAGGCTGTCTCAGACTTCTCGCTGCTTTGCCTCTGCCTCTTGACTACTTATACCCTTGAAATTACTACTAAAGTTATTCACCATCGATAAAATCTCCGAACTGAGTGAGTCTGACCTGACAGTCCAAATCGGTGTTGGCTCAGTGCCTCTCTCCAATTTCTGTATGAATATTTCCCATATTTCAAGGTCTGGTTGAGAAATCTCACTGAAACCTTCTGAACCTGTTCTAGCTTATAGGGATCCTTCATTTTTCCAAACTTGTTTTAGACTTTATTGTCTAGTGAATTGCTTGGGGCAATTTTTGTATTGTTGACTGACTTCGTTCTTGTTTAACTTCCTGAAAAGTTGCTTAACTTTTTAATATTTATGCTTCTACTCCTCAGGTAGCCTCTAAACTTAAGAACTAAGTTCATGGCTGTAGCTAGCAAAGATCCTTATACATTTTAGGTCCTCAAATATTGTTAATTTGCTTTAGGTTAGAGAAATGAAAATCAAAAAGCATAACATTTGAGTGCTTGGGGCCATTCTTTTGTACTATTTATATGTTTATATCATACTGATATTTGAAGAAAACAGCCTAATGAAAAAATGAAACTGTTCTGAGAAAGTTATTTTAAATTTTTATCAGAAATTATTTGTCGTACTTTCCGTATTATTGTAAGTGTACTCTGAATCATAGCAATATTGTTGTTTATCTTCTAGAGGGGCAGTTAAGACACATAAAAACTGGGGAACCGTTTGTTTTTAACTACCGGGAAGACTTGCACAGATGGAACCAGAAAAGATACGAAGCTCTAGGAGAGGTATGGTCATATCTACACCTTCAACCTTGTTTTTCCCAATTTTAAGCAGTCAGAATAAAGGTTTTAAAGCTGAAGCAAGTCATGCCCCCTTTCTGCAAAAAGTGACTCTAAAAAGGTTTTGCATTTTCTTGGTTTGATTATTTTTAATGGTTATGTTAGACACACGTTCTCAGTTTAAAAGTTTATGTTTTTATACAAATTTATCCTTCCCATGACCTTAATATTTTGCGGTGAGTCATTATATTGGAAAACAAATTTATGCCAAATTTTAATTTTATTTTTTTAATGTTTTTAAGAGGTTGAATCCTCTGCTGTGCCAGGAGGAAAAAGTGTTCTTTTAAGTCTTTATCTGGAAAAAAGAAAAAAAAAGAAAAATGTTACATATGTTAACTATGTGATATGATGGATGTGTTAATTATCTTGATCTTGGTAATCATTCTACAGTATACATGTGTATAAAATCATTTTGTACACTTTAAATATTAACAGTTATGTTTGTCAATTATTCCTCAGTGAGCTTAAAAAAAGTGCTTTCTATATGAAGAAGATTGATATTTGGCTAATAAATTGGATCTAACCTACTTACTGACTTGATAAAGGATTAAGCCTTGTGACCATTAGGTACCTCACATGATATCTCTGGTAGGAACCTTTGTCATTCAGGTGACTGTTTTGTTAAAGCTAAAGTTGTACTCATTCTGTGTCATATTAAGTGTTTTTAATATAATGCATACAGACACATTTGTTTAGTGATAACTAGACAACTGCTTTACTTCTCTAAGGAAAAGCTGAAATTTCTATATTCCTTTTTGGCTGTTTAATAAAGTCGTCAAAATGAGTTACTTGGTTAAGAATAGCATAAAGAATATACGAAACTTAACTTATGTTTGCTAGGAGACAATTCTCCATGGATCTCTTGCATTTCTGTGTGTCTCTGAGCAAAGGCGTTGACAGCTTTTGTTCTGGCCTATGTTTTTGAGGATGTTTGTGTAGGAAACAACCTTGGAAGATAGAGACTGTATCTTCCTCCAAGACAGAGGGCAGATTTGTTTGCTGTCCAAGGTACTACAGATAATGCTCCTCTCTTCCCCTACTGGTGGCAAAGAATGGGCAGATTTGCTAGCAACCCCCTTATAAGATTGGGCTTTGTAAGTTTGAGGTTCCTTAGGTGTGATATAGTCCCACTGTGTGCTCAGCCTCTACCCTTGGCTTATCCACATGGCCTCTTTGGGATTTGAGGGGCAAGAGGAATAGATGAAGTAATACGTGACCCTGGAATCTAGTGTCTTCTGGCAGCATCCTTGAACTGGTAGCAAGCTAACTTGTTAGCTTGCAAGCAGGGTAAAATCTCAGCCCCTTCACGGTTCTTGACATTGTTCTCCAGCATTTATAATTTACATATATTTAACGCCCTGAATAATTTCTGCTACACTTAAAAAAAAAGTTTGCCTATTTCCACTTGAACTAATTATATGCTGCAGACTGGTAATATTTTGATTATAGGATATCCATACTCTGTGGCCTTAGAGAAGGGCTGGGGTTGTCTGTTTTTTTTTAATATGGGGCTTACATTTTACTCTTTTCCATAAGCCGTGTACGCTTGTGCACTTGGACAGGTGCTGTTCTCCAAACATACCTTGTCTTTTTTGGCATCTGCATCTTTTTCTCTCTCAACTTGTATCCTCCAACATCATCTATATCAAAATCTAGCTAGTGTGTCTTATTAGGTAATCCCATGTCTAAGTGATTCCTTTCTCCTAGAATCTCCTACCTAATTCTTTGGACATGGGGAGGGTCACACATTTATTTTTGTTGGACCTTACTCCATGAAAATCAAAATATTTTGAATTTTCACTTTAATGATTATATGTTTAGACAGAAGATATTCTGCATTATCTAGATTCCCTCGTCCTGTGCCTGTATTCACATTTTTGATCATAATCAGGTTGGCCCAAAGTGATCACCCCAAATCACAAGATTTAACTTTTCATGCAGTGTTTCGCAAAATTAGATCAGTGGCCCCCGAAGCTTCAAATACCAGTCCTATTATTCCCTAATCTGTTGATCACAAGTAAACATAACTTCCTAGCATAAAGCTCAGCACAACAAAAGATCCAAGGATTGGACAGGGAAAGTCCAGTGATTATAGCATTTGTTCCATACCATCTTGCTTCTTATGTCTTGTTTGAAATACTTGTTTTCATTGCTAATTTCACTGTTGAAGGTTGGTTATTAATTGAATTTCATTTCCTACGTCTTAGGAGTGAGATCTATGAGTTCTAGCTACTGAATCTAGAATAATGACACAATTTTCACTACAGTGAATTTGTTTGGGGTTTATTATAATGGGATTTAACACGAATGTGGACCCGTCTTTTCATCCATATTTCTTAATTTCTATTTGAGCTATGCCTTCAAGTTAGATTTACCAACTTACTATTCTTCATTCACACCTTGTATTTTTATCTTCTACTGTTTTCTCTCTTTGACATGCCCCTCCTCCCTTGTTCCCGATACCCCTCTCTCCACTTGCCTTCAGGTTTTGGCTCAGATGTCTCCTCCTTTAGGGAACCTTTCCTCATCTCTTCTGCTACAGTTTTTTTTTCTCTCTTCTCGGTTTCCTTTTTCCCCATCCTCTTTTTCTTCCTATCTTGTCTTCCACAAATGATTTAAGGTGACTTTAAAGATGAATGTCATTTGCAAGATTAAAAATTAAATTGAAAATAAATAAGAAAACAGAATAAAAAAATAAAATGTTAGTAAGTAAGCTAAAGGCATGAGTTTGCTTTATTTCTCCTAAGGTACTTCACACTGTTTTACAGTATTTTTTAATGCACATCTTTAAGCAATTTGGAGGAACTTTCTGTGTCCTCTGATATTTGTTGAATAATAAATGAGTGTGGTACAAATATATAAACTGTTTTGTATAAATTCTGGATCTATGCACTTTAGAGAATTTCTTAATGTTAGGAATTTAAACATAAGGACATGTGTTTTCTTAGTGGAAGAAAGGAAGATGATATGTTAATGATGGTTTTCCTATTTGTAAATCTAAACAATTTTTAATTATTTTATTCTAATTCTCATTTAAGTTCTAGAAGTTTTGGACTATTAAAAGCTTTCCTGATTATTTGATAAAAAATAGACTATATTTGTGGCATATTCTGTTGGAAAATTTTTAGCCTTTGTAGTCAAACTCTAGACTTATGTCACTATAATTCAGGAAATATAAGTTCTTGTATAACTGTGTATGCTTCCTAGAAATCAAATAAACCTTTATATTTAAATTCTGGAAATAATTTAGTACTTCCTGTTACCAGTAAGATCTCTAGTTCCAATAAGCAAGAACCTGTAGAAAGCATCTCACCTGGTCCTGCACATAGAAGCACTGAAAACCCCTTTCTCCTCATTGATGGATAGGACAGAATTCAGAAGATAGCACAAATTTGAGTTTATTGCCTGGGAGCCTGCCTTAATAAACAGCTTTTGATATGCTAAGGTTGAAGTTTTAAGGAAACAGATTTTGACTTCAGTGAGCAATCTAAACCAAAACCCTTTCTGTTTTTTTAGTGTTTTCCTACTAAATATTGAGTTTTGTCTTCAGCTGAGAGCTACTATATATGTTTCACAACTGCCGTTTTAGTTTATGTTTATTCCTCTCTTAAGGAGATTGTTATAGCAGTCATTCAGCAGAAATTGTTTTTAAGACTTGCTCCTGAAATGCTCTATCATTTCTATGTAAATTAAACTTATTGTGTAAGTAAAATAAACTGAGATGTCAATTTGTTTTTAGAATGCAGTGCCGTAACTACACGAAAGAATACTCTTTACATTCACAGAGTTACATTTTTATAGTCAAACAAATGCTTTCGCTAATATATATATATTTTTTTACTATCTACATATAGCTTGATAAAAACATATAGCTTGATAAAAACATATAGCTTTAATAAGTTTGGATAATTTCTCTAAATGTAGAAAGATACTATCAGTTTAAGGAGGTGGGAGAGTGGTGTGAAAGGATAATTTTCAGAATAGAAGTGTCTAGTGTATATATATTGGAGTTGAATGCCAAGGAGTGATGTTTCTGGTAGACTCAGTCAGAAAGGCTGGAAAGGCCATTATGTTAAATAGTAAATAGAATGGTAAAAACTCAGCATGTAACCTGTGAAATTTTCTCAGTGATCTCTTTCCTGTCAATACTGAATTACTATTAAATGGAGAATTTCTAATCCAGCAGAAAGTCTAATGAAAGAGATTTGATTTTCTCGTCAAATTTAAGTCTTTGCATTTCTTTTAATATTTATCTTGATTGTCTCTTTAAGAATTAATAAATTATCAATGTGCTTAATAAGAAAATAGCAGTGATTAGGTAGTCTTATAAGCTTGACTCTTTATTCATGGATAGGATCACACTTTTATAAAGGCAACTAGATGTGTGATTTTTTTTCCTGGACCTAAATTATGTCTTGTAAAGTAGTAGAAAATTACTGAAAAATGTTACATTAAAAAAAGGAGTTTATTAAAGAATGTAGGCCAGTGGTGTTTTATAGGGCATTTTTCAATGGCCATATTCAGGTATTTGAAATGGGAGCAACTTCAATTAAGGAACAATAATATAAATGATCATTATTTTAATATTCAAATATTTAAATATAATGTGATTATCTGTATATAATTAATGCCTTCGTATAATGTGAAATTTGTACATCTTAAATTGTCACAAAAACAAATGGCTAGCCATCAAGAGATCTGGGTCCTAGTTCTGGCTCAGTCATTATCTCTATGACTTTAGAAAAATAATATTTCTGAGCCTCCACTGTAATAAAATGGGGATAAAATTATCTGAACTATTGTCAGGAATAAGTAAGATGCATACATATGATATTTTATATTCTTTAATGTGCCATTAAATATTAGGAGCATGGAATGAAAATAGAACTGTACTATTTAAGATTTCTAATTTACTGGGCCAGCCCAGTGGCGCAGCGGTTAAGTTC